AAATAACAAAGATAGATATAATAATGCTATCTGAACAAAAAATAAGAATAAACAAAATATTGCTATTTCTATAAAAAATAAAAAATAAAGATAACAGTGCTATCTGAAGAATAAAAAAGAATAAAGATAACAAGGCTATTTGTATAATACATAAAAGAGTAAAGGTAATGATGCTATCTGAAGAATAAATACAAATAAAGAAAGCAATGTAGATAATTAGTCTAGCGCCTAGGACGGGGGGGAGTGCGATTTGGGTTTGGGATTGGCTGGCACAAGGGGCAAGGGAGACTTTCCAAAACCTGGAACCTCAAAGCCCAAATCTTTGAGAAGCACGAAATAACACACAGTTTTTACAAATATGCTGGCGTAATTTGTACATTGACATATCGTCCAATAATAATGCTATTCCAATACAACAAAATGTACGCAATATTAGAACTGGCACCTCAAAAGTTACGCCAGTAAATCGACAACAACTGATCACACGGACTTGTTTCACCTCCAGCAACGACAATGGAATACGCTGACATCAACTTACGACGCAAGGACAAGTCCATTGTACTATCTAAAGGGGGGACACTCCTGCTCACATGGCTGGCAACTGGCAACTGGCTACTGGGACTTGGGATTTGGGGGCTTTGTACCGCGCGCGGTGACGACAATAGCACGATTTTTGGTGACGTCTGGTGACGTCGTGGGCGTGGCTCGCCTGGGTTTGATTGGCTTGAACGAAGGCTGTCGAAACAGGTGGACAGTAGCTGTCTACAGCACTACAGCACGTGGTTTGTCTATGTGGTTTGTCCATGTGATTTGTCTATGTGGTTTGTCTATGTGGTTTGTCCAAGGAGTTTAGAACTAATGGAGCCTCCTCTCTCTCTTCGCGGCGCCGCGAGCAGTACGCCGCGGTGGGGATCAAATATGGCGGCCGACTGTGGGCTAAATCACGAACTGTGGCGTTTCTTTATGGGAGTGCTTATTTAGGCCACATATGGCCTAAATAAGGTAAGGGAGGGGGGGTTTAGCTTATTTAGGCCACAGTGGACTGTGGCCTAAATAAGGTAAGGGAGAGGGGTTTAGCTTATTTAGGCCACACATGCTCAAACTACCCTTTTCAGGCAACTGAGTTCCTTCCACTTTCATAATGGTGCACCTTTCTCATTTAGTACAG